CTGACCCCGGCGCACACACGCCCTCGGGGCCCTCGGCCCGTCGCCCTTGCGGCTTTGCCATGGCGGTTGCAACAAACCCAGCGCGAGCTGCCGACGGGCCGTTCTTCTGCCAAGCGGCTCATGTCCCAAAAGCTCAGAAGTGCTTTTTTTTTCTCCACATACTCAGAGAAATTGTTGTTGCATTTGCTGGACAAGAGTGACTGGGTTCGGTAGGGAGAAGAGCCAAGCTCATCTGCAAGGCTTTGGGCTGTGATTAATAGAGGCTCTTTGCATCCTCCACTGTTACCTTGGTGCAAAGCATGGAATTAACTGGTCCTTTATACCTTTTCGTGCAGGTGTGAGGACCTCGCAGGCTCCTCGCATGCCAGAAACAACCCCATGGTGAGAGCTCTGGGTGAGCGGCCGTTTGCCCCTGCCCTTCGTGGACATCCCCAGCCTCCTGCAGCAGCGAGATGCTCCCTGCCCCGTACCGGTGCCTTTTCTCTGTCACTGGGTGCTCGTTAAACTAGAAAACACTTTTGGGGTGGTTGCCTCACTCTTTGCCGATGTTTTTTTCCCCTTGGTTTGGGGACAGGAGAGCGGCAAGGCCAGCAGGAAGCTTCCTAGGTCTGCAGAGAACATTTCTCTTCATTGAGAAGCAGCTGGTTTCTCCTGTATTTAATTAGTCTTCCCTGTAGCTAACAGAGAGGAGGGGCACGGAGAAACGGGGGAAGCTGGAAAGAAATCGCTTCTCCTGTCAAAATGCACCCTGGCGCAGAGCAAAGGCCAGAAAACGGATCCGCTCATCACCTGCTCCCTTTTTAAAATAACTCCCAGAAATGCAGCAGCATCTGCATTGCCCGGTGGCGGCTCGAAAGCTCCCGAGAGCCCGTCTGGTGCAGAGAAACTGGGCTGGCAGGGGTGATTTGGGCTCGTCTGTGTGGCCGGACTGTCTGCACCGGCTTTCTCTCCCTCATCCAGCACAAAAACGTACGTAAAAGCCCCAAATACGACAGCAAAGCCTTTCCCTGCTCTGGCTCCGTGGGAGGCTGAGCTGCCCCAAGCCTCTTATCTAAATCTTTGCTTGAGCTTGTTTCTTTAGCCGGGAACTGGAGCAACCCCGATGCCACGGCCGTCCTCCCGCAGGGTTTCAGCCGGGGTGCCCGGGGACGGCGGGGGCTGCAGCTGGTCCCAGCATCAATGATTCAGGAGCGGCAAAGGGCTGGGTTGGGTTTCAGCTGAGGCTTCCAACGCTGGAGCTGGGTTACCGGGCGTCTCGGGTGTCTCGCTGCATTTGGGGAGGGATGGGGAAGGCTGGAGATCCGCAGGGATGAGCGGAGGGATGTGAGGATGAGCGGAAAAGTAGGAAAATGTGGGTGATGATATCAAGTCTTATGGTCAGTCTCCTCCTCCTGTTCCACCTCCCCAGTATGTCATCCCCTGAGCTCAGGGAGTTACTGGTTGCTGCAGCGGGTATCATAGGCACCAAATAACCCAGCAAACGTTATCACCGTGTCCCTCATTAATTCCCGCAGGATCCCTAACACAGCAGGGAGCCCCGTGCCCCAGCCCTGCGGCGTTTGGTGCTCTCGGCCTGATGCTCTGAAGCCACAAAAAAAACGCCACGACCCCGCTGCACCGTGGGGCAGAGCAGGAGCGATGGCGTTGGGCGATGGCTGGAGGAAAACTTGCCCAGGTAAGCGGGGCTGGGCCGTGGCCGGGCCATCGGTGCCGCGTGGTTTTGCAGCAGCAGCAGCGCATGGGGGGGAGCTTCACCCACATGCAACGAGTCTGCTGGGTCTCAGCTGCTCTGACAGGCTTTACTTACTGCAAATTCCTCACTGGTAACCAATAAGGGGGGGCAAATGGGGCACGGAGGTTATGCTGGTGTCCTTTTCCTGGCCAGCC